TACATAGTCCAGATACAGGCTTACTGACCCTTTAGGTACTGGGTGTTACGTTTTTTGAACCCAAAGATATGGTTCAAAGAAAGGTGGCAAAGAAGTAGGAGCAGGTACAATGAAAGTTAGTCTGTGTACTTTATGCAAGCCTTCCAGACCAGCTCAGGCCACCCCAGTATATACCTTTCCATTTGACAATGGAATTCTGCTGCCCCTGTTCAATTTATGAGTCATCAGCTAACACCCAGGACCTATAGTCATATATGTACATAGTCCAAATACAGGTTTACTGTCCCTTCTTGGGAAACTTCTACTAGTACCACAATTCATGGACTGTTTCATCACCATGTATCACAAACAACATTAAATTTGAGCAGGAAACTCATGGGAAGTAAGGCAATGGAGTCATGTCTGTGAAGTTAACTGATCTTACCTCAAACCCATCGCTTAGAAGCAGCTGGTATGATACCACAGAGGAAAGTTGTGCTGAAGGATCAATTGGCTGAGAGAGAACCCTTATGAGGATATGAGACAGGATTTAAGTCAGTATCCAATACATATTGCCATCTACCCCATATTCAGAATGCACAGTCCTAGGAACCAGAGACATGGAAACTCGATGGACATGAGTTTGCGTAAGCTCCAGGAGGTGATGATGGACAAGGAAGCCTGGTGTGCTGCAGTCCATGGGGTCACAGAGTTGGACCCAACTGAGTGACTGAACTGAACTGAGGAACCAGGGGGTAGAAGTAAGTGATTATTAGGAATTATTATTATTCCTAATAATTCAGTTGAAGAATTTTTGTCTATACAACTTTGACTCTAAAACATTAGGTGTGATGGATCTGAAGGCCCTAGTGCCCAGAGGACAGATACTTTCCCCAGGTAACCGAGTCACAGTTCCATTAAATAGGAAGCTTTTTTTGGCTTAATAATATTCCATTGTATGGATATACCACATTTTTTTATCCATTGATGGTTATTGGCATTTAGGTTGATTCTACCTTTTGGCTACTAAAAGCAATGCTCTTAGAACATCCCTGTGCAAGTTTTTGCATGAACATATACTTTCATTTGTAGAGAGGCATATATCTATGAGTGGAATTGCTGGGCCATACGGTAACTCTAAATTTTGAGAAGCTGCCAGACTGTTTCCCGAAGTGGCTATATTCCCACCAGCAGTGTCAGTTTCACCAACACTTTTTATTATCTTTCTTTCTGATTATAGTCATCCTGGTCGGTCTGAAGTGATATCTCATTGCAGTTGTTTAAATTTTGATTTGCATTTCCCTAGTGACTGAAAACGTTAAATCGTCTTTTCATGTGCCTGTTGGCCATTTGTATGTCCTCTATGGAGAAATGTCTATTTAGATCATCTGCCCATTTTTTAAAAATTCTGTTATTTGTATTTTTACTGTATCATACTGATACCTCAGATTCCAGTTCAACACCACAGGGTTCTCCTTCCCCTTTCCTTATTATAACTTCATCTCCAAAAGCAAGAAATCTGGTTCTGATTATGCACCATGTACTTACTCAATTCTAGAGAATACACAAATAACTTCAGAATTGCTAACCTACATATGTCCTGGAAGAAAAATAAATTATGAGCTAAAGAACAATGCTTGTGTACAGTTTTTGTCTTCAGTCTTATAGCATACAATCAAAATACTATTTTCTATAGCTCTTCAGGTTTAGAAAATGCTTCAGTGTAGTTATGTTATTCACCTGTAATATAGTTAGGTTCATGTTTTTTTTTTTAACTATTTGTAATTCCACTTTGAGTTCCTTCCACTCCTTTGCCCATATCCTGATTGATTTTAGTTATTTATTTTGGAGAATGTGAACCATTACCATGGTTCCAATAGTGCCGGCTACATAAAAAGGTTACACTTAGAGAAGTAGCAGCCCTCCTAATCCTTTCCACCTTGTTCCCATTCTCCCACTGCTTCCATCCTATTCCCACCTGTCTCCTGTAGATAACTGATCTCATTTTTTCTGGTTTACCCTGTATTGCACAGATGAACAGATATATTTTTTAATATCCTTTTCTTTCTTACATGGTAGATAGAATATTTGCACTTTGTTTTTTTTTTTTCATTTGACAGTGTGTTATTCTGGAAATCCATATATATCAATTCGTAAAGATCTCCCTTTTTTTAAAAATACTTATTTATTTTTGGATGTGCTGGGTCTTTGTTGCTGTGCATGGGCTGTTCTCTAATTGCAACACACGGGGCTACTCTCTCATTGTGATGCATGGCCTTCTCACTGCGTGGCTTCTCTTGTTGTGGCGCGCAGGCTCTAGGCTTGTGGGCTTCAGCAGTTGTGGTGCTGGGGCCCAACTGCTCCAAGGCCTGTGGGATCTTCCTGGACCAGGGATTAAACCTGTGTCCCCTGCTTTGGCAGGTGAACCCCTAACCACTGGAACACTAGGGAAGCCCCTGTATTCTTTCCTATAGCTGCATAGTTTTCCATTCTCCGAAGGAAATGGCAACCCACTCCAGTATTCTTGCCTGGAGAACTCCATGGACAAAGGAGCCTGGCAGGCTACAGTCCATGGAGTCGCAAAGAGTCAGAAACAACTGAGTGGCTATCACTCATATTCTCCTATATGTGGGCACTTAGGTTATTTCCAATACATTACAATAACAAAAAATGCTTCAATAAATTACTTTGTATGTATTTTCATACTGTTGGAGCTCTTTCTTTAAAGTAGATTAAACTTAACAGTTTTGAAAAATAAACATGTTCTAACAATGTCCACTGAAAGAGTCTAGAAACAGTGAAATTCCAGCTAGCAGTGAGCACAGCTAGCACTCAGATCTTGGTTTCTAAATTCCTTTTCTCATTAAAAGCAGCCAGAGTTTCTTGGAGGAACTCATTCTGAGGCAGGAAAAATACCAGGGAAACTTGAAACATTTTCTTGTGCCAGAAAACAAGGGAAATGATGAAAGACAAATAGGACATGTTACAAGGAGACAGTTGTTAACTTGAAGGGGCTACCATTGGTCAAATTTAGGGCAATTTGAGCATTACAAAGAATAATGATGGTAAATTAGAGTAAAGTTTTTCTTTAGATTTCATGAATCCAGGAAGTGGATAGTGGTACGTAACAAACAAAGGTGGGAGAGGAAACTCCAGCTATTAAATGTAAAATGCAGAAGAAATGGTATTTTAAAATCTGAAGTTGATTTAGGCAAGGATGTCAGTGGATGCTAAAAACCATCGAATACAAAGTTCTTGGCCAAGACATTCACACAGTCTCAAGTATTATCTCACAGATTACTTATTAACAACAGAAAAAAAGGGTTTTTAAAAAAATAAACCCCTTCTTCAATTAGGAATAGATGTTGAATTGTATATATAACTTTTGTGGGTAGAATCTACTGTACTCTTTTGGTTTTTTAAAAATACTTATATATTTGGCTGTGCTGAGTCTCAGTTGCAGCACTCGGGATCTTTCAGTTGCGGCATATGGGATCGAGTTCCCTGACCAGGGATGGAACCCAGGCCCCCTGCATTGGGAGTGCAGAGTCATAGCCCCTGGACCACCAGGGAAGTCCCTACTGTACTCCTTTTTAATGGGATTCACTTGAGAGGGATTATCAGGCTGGAATGTGAACTGAGAATTATAATAGATATAAGAAAAGGAGAACATGCTTGTTTTTGTTTAATGAATGTGGTTTGTAGGTACGGGGTGAGATAATTTCTGTCATCCTATATTGTCTCATTAGTGTTTATGGAATGCAACTCTATTGAAGACAGTCCCTTTTAAAACCATGATGTAAACTTGGTTTATAGTGTTCTGAGGTCATAGAACAATTAACTGAAATAGGATTGCATGAGATTTGGCAATGGTGAGTGAGAGAGTTTGGTCCTTGACATACTGATTTTGAAGTGTCAGTAGGAAAACAAAGTGAAGATGACCTTAGGCAGTTACAGACTCAGCCCTGAAATGATGATTTTCTTTCCTCAAGAAAGCTTAAGACTGGATGAATAGATTTGGGAATCAATAGCATGGATGGAGATCCTGTCTGAAACCATCATATAGTAAATTACATTGAGGGAACACAGTGAAGAGATGCTTATAATGAGGGAATAAACAGAGATCTAGGATGTGATAATTAAGAAGTTAGCAGTAATCTCCCAGGCAGAACTGATCTGTGTAGAGTATGGTCAACAGTCAAATTCAGGAGAAAAGTGAGTGAAGAGGTGAGGAATGGGATGACAGTATCTTAAGGGTCAGGTAGCATGAAGGAACAGTGTTTCTAGGATGCTGAAAATTAAATTGATGGGTAAAAAGGAAGGAACTTGTGAAAAGAGAGTGATTGAGAATATTTTTTAAAGTATTTATTGCCTTTTGCTTTCTGTTCAAACTTGTTAGCAACTTTATTGCCAAGGCTCTTCCATAATATGATGTATGACTTAGAATATTTGTCAATGTAACTCCATATGATAGTTCTGTAAACCGAGTGGAAATTTTGTCCGTTAGACATGGAGTTAGTTACAGATTATGATAAATCTCCAGCTTTTGTCTTTATCTTGTTTTTTTAGTTTTTGGGATTTTTTTTGGCTGCATGTGGGATCTTTGTTCCCTAACCAAGGATTGAACCTGTACTCCCTGCATTGCAGGCATAGGTCTTAACCACTAGACTGCCAGGGAAGTCCAGCTTGAGAGGTTTTAACATGGTGGTTTAGTCGCTAAGTCATGTCCGACTCCTGGTGACTCCATGAACGGTAGCCTGCCAGGTTCCTCTGTCCATGGGATTTTCCAGGCAAGAATACTGGAGTGGGTTGCCATTTCCTTCTTCAAGTCTTGATCTTCTTAATCTAAGTATGCTATCCCAGTTTTAAAAGACAGGCCTGTTCAGTATACAGGTACAAAAATGCATGATACCCTATTTATTATTGTGACCTTGCCTTTAAATTAGGAAGGAAATGGTGCCTGATAGATAAATGCTGATTATTTCAATTTTTCAGCTATGTAAATGTTGCCAGCATATTTCTACTCATATGTAACTGGTCGAGAAAACAGGTATTTGAACATGCAGAATCATGCAGTATCTTGGTCTGTGTATTTCTGACTGTATAATGCTGTTAAGTTCCTTGAGAGTGTGTAAGGGGGTGCTGTTTATTTGTATGTGTTTTTCATCGAAAATGTTGCAGTACATCGTCTGTCACTGACTTCAGGCTCTGGGGGTGGGCCAAGGTAGGGAGGGTGTGACGCTGGTTTTTGTGTGAACTCCGGCTTGTGATGCTGAGCTTGGTTCATCCGCTTTCTCCTCCCTTTCCCCCACCCCTGCCCTCCCCACTCCTTCCCACCAGCGCCACAGCAACATCCTCAGAGTCTGAGGGAACTGCGCCCAGCCCAGCGAGGGCACAGAGCTTCCCGCCGCCAGCAGCCTGCAGCCGGGAGAGGAGCGAGAGCCCGGACAGTGCCTCGCCGCCACCAGTGCCCGGACCACCATGGCCAAGAACCGCAGGGACAGAAACAGTTGGGGTGAGTCGCGTATGGTGACTTCTGCAGCCTGCACAGGGGCTGGCCCTCCGCTTTCGGCTTCTGGAAACGAGGAGGGCCGAGGGCTGCTCGGCGCCAGCGTCTAGGGCTGGGACATGGTCACAGCCGAGCGGCTCCCTGTTGGGCGGGAGGAACCGTGGCCAAGCGGTACCCATGGAAGCAGCATCTCTCTCGCAGTGGAGCGAAGGGGCCAAGGGGCGAAGGCTGCAGCTACACGCAGGCCGCAGACTCCAGCCTTTCCCCCACCCCCACCCCGCATCCTCCTCCCAGCATTTGGACAGCACCCACCCGGTCGCCTCTGGGGAGCTCATGCTTTGGCTTTAGCTAAAGGAGGTTGGCAGGAAGGGGTGAGGCCGGGCAGGGGACTGTGGTGAGGGCCGTGGAGTGGAGAGCCCCCACCCCTTCCCCACGAGCTGCGAACTCGCAGGGCTTGGACTCCTGGCCGGCGGGCAGCTTTGGAACAATGAGGCGGAGCGCGCCGGGACCAGGTCGGGGCGTTGCAGACACGAGCAGCGCGGCGGGAGAAGGGGCGCCGCTTGGGAATCCCATAGCACCGCAGCACTCCTTTTCATTAGGGGGTTGGGTGGGGAATTTGGGAGAAAGGGGGGCAAAGTTGTGGTTTCCAGCCTTCTGCCCCACCCCAACCTGGTGCCCCATTCAGGCCAGCGTTAAGGGTGGCATTGTTCTTGGGTTTTACCTTTTGGAGATATCGGGCTCATGATTCAGCACCAGGCCGAGGGGAGGGGGAAGGAGAGACTAGGCCCAGGGGGTTCAAGCTGCCGCGAGTGGGTGGGCGGCGCTCACGCAGGCGGAGAAGAGAGAGTGCAGTGATTCAGGAGAAATCGCGGCCCCGCCCGCTCTGCTGCTCCAGACTCCGTAGTGTGGGCAGGTTGGGCTGCTTTTTCCTCTTCGGGCTCCCGACTTCTTCCAGTCACAGTGCCAAACTCACTGCCATCTTCGGGCATTTTCTTATCAGCACCAGAGCAGACCTCAGACCACTGTGGCATAGTGGGTAGAGGAATAGTGTTTGCTCATTAGCTTTGAATTGTTATTTGGAAAGTTAACATCCACTAGGAGTTCAGAGCTTTTTCATTGATTTTCCTCAGTGTCTCTGACAGCTCTTCTGTAACTATCCATCATATTGTGAGGTATAAATTTACATTTTAATTAGTTGTTTTGGTTATCTTTTATGAAAATTGTATATCTTTCATCAAAAGATCCTATTTTCTCTTGCCTCTGATTGGTCACAGGACCAATTTAACTCCCAAATAAGTGAAGTCTACGTTTGAGAGGTTATCAGAGGTTTATGGTAGATGTGGGGAGTTGGAGCAGGGATATTTGTCTTTAGTTGTCTGAGTTTAAGAGAAAGCGGTTCCATTTTCTGATATCTGATATCGCCAAAAAGAAATACTGTCCTATTTACGATTTACGTTTGATTGAAACGTATTCCAGACAGTTTATCCAGAATCCGAAGAGTTTTGAGTCAAGTGATGAATTAAAAAAAGAAACACCATAGTCACTATGTGTTCACCTGAGATTTCACAAAAAGAGATAGTGGAATTGTGGACTCTTATCTTTATGTTATGTAGAAATGCTTTACTACTTAGATATTTCTTTGCTCTAAAGTGTACGTGGCATGACTTCGAAAACGTAGCATATGAAGTAGGAGATATGAGTCTTTGGCAAATATGTTAGCCATGTCTGCCTTGATTCCATTTTATCACCAGTGTCTAGTACAATGCCTAACATAATAGGCATTTAATAATAATAATAACATCATTGAGCTAATATCACATGAAGTAGGTATTATAGTCCTCATTTACATATTAAAAGGCAAATAATAGAGCTAGGACTCCAATTCTGGCAGTTTGACTTCGGATCCTTTTGTCATCAGCAGTATTTTGCTGAATGGATAATATTTTCTGCATTGTATAGAATTGCAGTTTTCAAGACCCATTCATCTGCATCACTGTATTTGATCTTTAGCCTCTTAAGATGTCAAAATGTAGTCCCTGTTTACAGATTAAAAAACTGAGTCTTAGGTAGGTTAAATAACTTGATGAAAGTCATATAATATTTAGTATGTTTAAAAACTGAGATTAGAACCTAGAGTTGTCTTATATATTCTATATCATAATGCTTCGGAATGGTTTCTATGTATAATGGAGCATGGTATGAAGGCAATAGAGAAGACAGGCCCTCATAGAAGGCAGAGGTCTCTGATGAGAAAAAAACACAGGTGACAGTTTAGAAAAGAAGACAGTAAACTGATCTTATCATCTAGCTAAATACATATTTTTCAGACAAATTAGAAATCATGGGGCAGAGGGGAAAGGTCAACTATCCGGAATTGGAAAATACAGGATTTCCAAGAAAAGTATAAGAGCGATACTTGCAAAATGTGTACAGGGAACCTAAAATTCAGATAAGGACCCTGTCGAACCAGTAACAGATATTATTTTTGTCTGAGTGATCAGAGACCTGTTAGATCCTTATTAGGGTCATGCTGCTGCTGCTGCTAAGTCATTTCAGTTGTGTCTGACTCTGTGCGACCCCATAGACAGCAGCCCACTAGGCTCCTCTGTCCCTGGGATTCTCCAGGCAAGAATACTGGAGGGTCATGGAGGCTAGAAAACAGAAACACATCTCTGCTGATGCCCAGAGTTGGGTGGTGTTTGAGGATCATACCCATACGTATAAGGGAAGCAAGTCTGTGCTTCCAAAACTGAGAATCCCACCACTTGTACCTGAATCTATACTGAACTAGAAGTTTGTATAAATAAGTGAATTCATAAAACATAGGCATTATTATCCTTATTTTTGTATATAAGGAATCTGAGATTCAGAGAGCATAACTTACCAGAGGTTGGATAATTTATGTTACAGATCTAGGATTTAAATTTAGCGTTGTTTACCTGGTCTGTGTGATAAAGATAAGGAATTAAAATAGAATGCCGGTAGGTGCCACAACAAACCTGTGTAGGATTAAGCTAGTATAATAAATCAATGCTCTATAAACTTGATCTCCCTGAACTAGAAAAGAAGGCAAAGAATATGCTAGCGTGGAAGATAAAGGAGACAGATGAATATCAGAAACAGTAGCCCAGAAAGCAGTCTTTCGGGTTGGGCTTAGAGTTTAAGTACTCTCAGAAACAAAACAGAAGTATATTCATTGTTTGTTTTTGTTAATTACAGCTGCTTAAAAACTTGAGATGCCACATGGAAATTTGAGTTTTCTGTATTGTAACAAACTGTCAGTGCAATATTACTTTAGAAGAAGAATATTTGCACAAAAGTGTCAGCTTTTCCTGCCTCTTTAAATAAACTCAGCCTCACATTAAGTATGTTGGTGGTGGTTTAGTCGCTAAGTTGTGTCCAACTCTTGCAACCTCATGGACTGCAGCCTGCCAGGCTCCTCTGTCCATGGGATTCTCTAGGCAAGAATACTGGAGTGGGTTGCCATTTCCTTCTCCACGTATTAAGTATAGGAAATGTCTATTTGTTGAAAATTAATTTTTAGGTTTTTGTTATTTAAGGAAAGGTTAAAAAAAATCTTGATTATAATAATTTCCAGATCTTTCTTTTCCAATTGGCTGTATTCTATTTTTCTTGAAATGAGACTCTGTGTGTACTTACCTCATTTTCTATATACCTTTTCCTCCTGAAACAAAATAAAATTTCTATTGGATCATACATGTTCTTCTCCTACAGATTCTCCCTTCCACATTATTCTGACTTAATTTGCCTTCCCTATATCTTTTTTCATATACATTTATATAGAGAGTTATACTTTATTTTTTTATATATAAAAGTATATTATATACTTTTTAACATATATATTATACTTTATATCTGCTTATCTTGTCTTGATGGCTCTTGGGTTATATCTTTGTTCCATTTCAAACTCTGTAGCCTTTATCTTCAGAAACCAGTGACTAGACTGTAAGTATAACCTGTGATCATCAGGAAAAGGAGTGTGAGAAATTTTAGTAAGAAAAAAATAGTTGGATATTTTAAAATTTGGAGGCTCTTTTACATAAAAATTATTCTATTAAAATATCTGTATATACAAAAGAAAAATGAAACATAGATGTTCAGTTTTAAAAAGTGTAACAGTGAATCCCCCCTCCCAAGCTGAAAAAATTGAACTTTATCAGTATTTTAACACTACCTGTTGGCTGCTCCCTGATGGCAGTATCTCCTTATAAATGCTTTCATAAATTTGGTGTTTCCTATTTCCTGATCATTTTATATCAGGAATTTATATATATATATATATATATATATATTGTGTATGTATTTTTATATATAACATATCTATCACTAAATAATGTATTAGCTTTACATTTTTAAGAATCTAAAATAAATGAAATTTAAGTATATTTTTTCCACAAAGTATTTTGTTTACTTATAATCCCCACACTTGGTATTATAATAGATGTGAAATTATATCTCACTGTGGTTTTGTCAGGCGAGTGTATGCTCCTCAGTTCTTTGTCTCGTCACAACAAAGATTTGGAGTGACGGTTTGAATCTGTGTGTACTGATTATCAGTGAGGTGTGAGTATATTTTCATACATCTATTAACCATTAACATTTCCTTCTCTATACCTGTTTGCCCTTTGCCAATCTTTTGTCAGGTTATGTTTTTCTTCCTTTTTCTATGTAAGTCCTTTGTTGTTTATTTGTCCTTTGCTACCTTGTGATGTGACTTTGCTCTCTCGATGGTATATTTTAGTAAACAAGTTTCATATTTAAAAATAGTCAAGTTAATATTTTCCTCATTATGGTTTGTGCTCTTTGTATTTTAAGAAATCTTTCTCTATCTCAAAGTTATGCAATTTTCTCCTATAATATTTGGTTTTAAAATTTTGCATGTCTCTTTCATTTTTTAAATTGTGGTAAAATGCACACAACATAAAATTCACCGTCTTAACCACTTTCAAGTGTACAGTTCAGTGGTACTAAGTTGTTGTGCCACC